ATACCGCGTTGACGAGATGAACTGCGGAAGACTAGCACGATGGCTGATAGTGTTTCGTTTTCCTACTGTTTCCCATCGAACGCCGTCACGGTTAAATTACCTATTATTTCGGGTCCGAAAAATTAGTAAATATTCTTCAGACGTTCTAAAGTAAAGGTGAACAGCGTTTTTCTTAAAACTATTACTGTTACGTAGTAAAAAAAAATCCGGAAAGTTCTCGCTTCATGATTTGTTCAATACTTCGAACGCGGCTCGAGTCCGTCCCGACCATCTGTCAAAGCCTCGTGCAGCGGTCTCTCTCGAGGACTCTCTCTCTCGCACCGTCACCTCTCATTGGCCAGTGTTTTTCGTTAATAACTCGTAAACAAAGCTGCAGATTGCATTTTCGCAAAGGAAAAAGTTACTTCAAATGACCTCAGCTACCCCTCATTTTCGGCTGTTAAAGTAATTGTGGAACACCCTGTATATCCGGCAGAATATGAGGTTTCAAATTGACGATATGAACCCGATGGATTTTTATTTGTGGGGATACTTAAAGGTAATTAGATGAGGTGTACCGCGTATTGCTGGACAACGTCGAGACATTGATGGGGCGAATACATGATGACGTTGCGAAAATTTCAGTAGACACACTGCGGTGTGTACAGGAGCAAATGCCGTACCGTGCTAACTGGTGTCTCTAGGTCAATGGTAGCAACTTCGAACAATTTTTGACGCCGTAACGCTCCTGACTTTATCGGCCCTTTTCAGGGCCACTCCATCTTAACGCGGAAACAAACAATTCGACCATGACAAGTAAATAAAAATACACACTCCCACCCCCTCCACACGATACCTCTACGATTTTGGAATATTGGTGTTCCGGATTATATCAGTGACTTATTGAGTGGTCACTGTTCAGTGAAAGGCCTAGGATCAGCAGTGCATTTTACGACGTCAATGCACTGACATTGTTCCGTTGTATGACGGAACCCCTATAAATCAAGTGAGGAAAATGTTGTCCTCGAGTCAAACATTATTGACCATCCACGCCCGTCCCTGGGAAGAGGAAAATTGCCAGATGTGGATAACCCAGGGACCGAAGGCCCTAGGAAATAGCGTATTTTGGACGAAGCAATCGAAATGCCAGAATACCCGTAGTAAGCAATTTCGTTGAAAGCCATTCCCGTCTTCTATTCAAGTATTTCTTTTATGATCCACAGTTGGTCACCAAATGTCATTCCTAGTCGTTTTTTACGATATGCATGTTCCACCGAGAAGAGGCATTTTCCGGATCATTGTTTGCTACGGCTTATCCTTGGGACACTCGGATTCCTTCGCGGGTGTCACCCAAGGGCACGAGCATTACCTGCGGGTGACCCTTAGTTTGGGGCGGTCACCTTCCTAATATTGCAATCCAATCAGTCAGGGCGACCGTTTCCCTCACTCCTCGCAAGAATTGAACAATCCACGAATCCGACTGTCTCAAATTTAGAACACACCCACACCAAATTTACCTCCGAGAACACACAACACACACATTCATTCTACCATCAACCCAAACACGGAATAGTCTACTCTCTAAAAATTATACTCTGTATCGATGTGAAGTTGAATGTTCAAATATATTCCAAGTTAAAGAAAAGAAACTCAGCTTATTATCCCTAGCATTTTGAAAAGTCGTAGGGAACCGCGAATATCAAATACGCGGAAAAACAGACATTGTGACCCACAATTTCGAACAGCAAATGCGTCCTAAACTAAATGGGTGAGTTTACTGCTAATGATATTTTTTACAATCCTTAAACAAACATATCCTGCATATTCTTTAACGCAATTATTTATTATTAAATTGGCTTTGCGAATCATCCGTTGAATACTATTCGGACACGAAATTATTTAAATCAAAATATCATTTACGTACTTTAACGGGGTTACTTATTATTAATCTTCACTATATATATGGCATAAAATCTTCATATGGTACACGTGAGGTGTCATGCACTTCAGAAAATTAAAACACAGCTGTCACGGTTAAACTACTTATTAAAATTATCACTATCACGTGGTAAAAGAAAATCGAAATTTCAAGCTCCGTGACTTGTTCATTGATTCGATCGCGGTACGGAGCCCCCCCCCTTCCTCTTTCAAACTCTACAGTCGGAGCACGTTGCGCTCGTGCGACTGATCCTGTAGTTCGCGCCCTCTTATTGGTCAGTGTTTTCCGTTAATAGCTCATAAACAAATTTATTTAAATATATAAAATGGATATATAATAATGCAACAAACTCACCGGTGATAAACTCACTGAAACGCCACCTGTTGCCTGCTATCTCAACCTGATGTCGCATGAGCATTTGTCAATTTCATTGTCAATTGTATTCACATCATAACCTACGAATCGTAGTCGAAATTAGTACAAAATTTATATAATACATTAAAAATTTAAGAACAAAAGAGTACGTTAAAGTACAACTGAGAAAATTTACGTATTAGATTTAGACATAACATTTGATAACTAGTATTGAAACTCATTAAACTTACAAAATATAACCAAAGGACATGCAGATTATCAAGTTTGTGTTTATGAAATTCTGCCGAATATCTAAACTAAATTGAAGAAATGAATGTTTTACAAAAATTAATTTTACACCTGTATTGAAAAAAAATTGTCAAAACGAAACTAAATTATCTCTAAAGCTACATAATTGTTTAATATGGATAACTTCAATTTTTCTGCGAATTTATGTCAAATAATTTTTTAGGCCCCTACAAAAAGTGTGAACAAAATAACTAACAAGCAAGCAATAAGAACAAAAACATAACAAAATACGATTTTCAACCAAAAAATATAAAAAATCATTAAAAATAAAAAACAATAGAAAAGAAAAATTAATGAATTCAATAAACATAAATTAAAACATTACATTAAAGTCGACTAGAATATCTGAAACTTACACAAATTAATTGTTAATTGCATAATATTAACGTGTTCACAGGATCCGTTGGGCGTTGCAAAATGGCCGTACTATAGTACCGATGAAGCCAATATGGCAGCTCTCGAGAAGATTAGTAGCTTGAAAAATGGCTTCTTCCGCTGCCATGCTACTGAAACGACTACAAAATTCATTTTAATTTTAATATTTACAATCCATTTGATTCATAGAAAAAAACGAAAACGAACAAATTATTAAAATAAATTTAATTGCAAAATATTGTATAAGAAATTTTATAAATTTCAGTATCTATACAATTGTATATGTTGCAAAACTTGTTGTACTTCGAAACTATCCCAGAGTTGTTATAAACATTTTAAATTGCGGTGGAATCCGTGTCGCAAATAATATAAAATTAAAGATGATGTTCTGATTACCGTTCCCTGTAACACCCGTATTTGAACAATGAATGTAATTGTTTAAACAATTCAAGAAACTATAACAGTGCTCGGTGATTTGCTACACTACTCGAAGACAAGGTGTGGTTGTAGCTGGCAAAGAAAATCAAGAAAACACAATGCAATGCTACGAAATTTACGAAAAATAGTTGTTAAAAAATTATATAATTGTTATAACGAATTTTAAAAACCATCGACCAAATGTTATATTCAAGAAAAATAATATAATAAAATATAATATATACTTGCGCATCGTTTTTATAGTTAGTTAGCCTTGCTGCACGTTTTTATAGTTGTTGACAATCGGTAATTATAAAAACGAGCTGCAAGACTTCTCTTAGGCTTCTTTTCCTAAATTATCCATTTTTGTGTACAAGCAGAAGATCAATTAGGTTGAATTTATTGTATCGCGCCGCGAATAATAAAATATGAAAGCCAATGCTTCGATCGTTAAATTTCTGCAGCACTCGCTAGATGACACGAAAATGACTATAAAAATTTGAAAATTAAAGATAACACTCACTTGTTGATACGGACAACTTGATAGCAAATATCACAGCGCGACACCATACCCGTCTAGTCCAAGCTTTTCTTTTTTGAAGACCAGATGGCACTAAAATGTGACGTCAGCCAACCGTACTAGCATCTTTTGAAAATATAAAAAATATTGGGAAAAATTGAAAACAGTAGAAAAAATACATTTTTAAGTATGAAAACATGAAAAATTTACGAAAATGACGAGAAACATCGCGAGAAAGCATGAAAAGAGTACAAACCCTTTGATATTACGAGAATACGACACGTAAAGAAAATATAATTTATTTAAAAAGTCAAAAAAAAATTTTTAAAATGTTGCCCCATCGTTCAACCATAAATAAATAATCATTTTCTCGAAAGTAGAGTGAAGAATTCTTTGAAAAACACGAGAAAAGACACCGGATTCGATGAAATTTGCGATCACCATCGCCATGACTTTTAAAAATTGAAAAATCTCGAAAAATAAGATTTGTTCCGCACCGTGATTAATAAAAATCGAAAAACAATGCTTCAACTATCACTTCAACTATCCACTCGCTGCAAAACGCTGACTCTATTATGCATAATATTAATTATTTAAGGTTTCACTTGCCTGTTGCTGCGTACTGCTTGCCGGACGGTAAAAGACAGAAATTACGGCGTCTGTTTGTAGGATTATATGTATGTACTTGGTACTATGCTCTACGGTTTGAAGGAGACAATAATAACAAATATGGCTAGCCTCGTCCAAAAATCGTCCGAAAATTCGAAAAAATTCGGCAAAATACATTTCTTAGCGTGAGAAAACGCGGAAAAAAACAATCTCTTCGATTTTAGGAAAATGTGTTGGAATATGTACCGTATATTAAAACTATTCGCGTCATCTCAGTAAGGTCAAATGTACCTAACAATGAATGTAAGTGTGTGTATAAGAACGCTTTGTTATTTATACAGTTCTGCTTCGTCCCTGCTTCGGCTGCGATAATATTCGAGCATACACATTTGTACAGTTCCAATAAATCCGATATTATACTCTTCTACGTATAAAATTTAGAGGCTTCTCTCTAACCAAAATACAACAGAATGCGGCATATAAAAATTATATGATCCATTTAAAAAATGAAAAAAAATAAAACATCATTGTCCCATCATTAGATAAAAAAGAAATAATTATTTTCTTAAAAGACACACCGAAGAAATCAGCAGAGGAAAGGCACAAATCCAGACTCGAAGCTATTTTCAATCACTACCTAGATGCTCTATAACAAATTGAAAAATCTACCTTTGTCTTCGTTTAATAATGGTTGTGATTAAAAATACGATGAAGGGATCTAGAAAAATTACCAGATTGTCAATAAAATGTCTAAATTTCAGTTATAAATAGCTGGCTTAAATAGAATAAAAAAATATATCACAATCCGAAAATCACTAGGATGAATTGATTAACGTAATCGATGAATACCTTACGCGAAAGTGTTTTTACATTTACCATAGATGGAGATGTCGCGGAATTAGTCTACGACTGTAGTATTTGAATAATCCATGAGAATTTAAAAAATCTAATATGTATAGAATTCAAAATGACATGCATATAACACACAATACGATGGTACATATATACAATCCCGTTCTAACACATGTTTATATTCTCTCAATTAATCATATCGTACTTAGTACAACATACTATTATGTTAACAAGTGTATCAGATCATAATGTATCAGTTACATGGTAATATGTGCTTGTTAATTTGCCTATTAATTGTGATAAGGCCAAGTCTTTTTATCCTTCACTTTAAGTGATTAACAGATTTTAAGTGATTTTGCAAACAGTGAAATGAATTGCAATTGACCCAGTAACTTTCGTGATTAGGTATCTCTATGTGTTGGAGTACAACCGTAAATAATGCACGAGAACTTTTATAACCAATCACGTATTTAATACATATTATTATATATAAGTGGGGCAAGTCCATGTTCTAAGAAAATGAAGATAATGATAGTTATAGATAAAACTTAGCATGATCTTTTTATCTGTAAACAATTTAGAATCAAAAAAATTCAAATGTTTCAAATCTTTTAAATTCAAATATTTAGGAGATAGAAGTTTTACCTCTTAACAGTGTTGTAAATATATTTAATTTGAAAGTGGTGCAAGTCCATCTTAGATTGCAATTATTTTTAACCGTACGGCAAAATTTAAGTCTGGTTGCTGTATGGTGAAGCAAATGTGATGGTTTAACGTCATGTTTGAAATGTAGGGTGTTTCTATCTATCTATCTTTCATATTGATAATTGATAATTGTACAATATTTCATAAATAATAATAAGTATATCTTAATTTTGTGTTTCAATAATAACACCAACACCGTGAAATTTTAGTACTATTGCCAATACTCTGAAAAACTGTAAACTGTATAACATTCGACTTATATTTGTTTAGCAGGAAAGTAATTTCGGTATTTCAATGTGAAATAAAACTCAATTTTTTCTATACAAGAAATGAACTTTAATTAGTTAAATATTTTCCATTCTGTTCGATGAACTTTTGCCATCTTTCCAAATCGATATGATGGATTTATTACCATATATACCTCCCGTTCATTATGAATATTTAAAAATGTTAAATCTTGAGTAAAATTCAATATAATTATACGTATAAAATAAATGATTAACGAAAATGTATGATTTCATTAAAATTCTTAATAAAAATTAATTATTTTTCGTTATGTTATGTTTTCTACTATAATATTTAAAAACTATTTTCCTTGTTTTATTTCACTTTTTATTAAATGAATAAATATTTATATTAATTTGAATAGTATTTTGTTTTTATTGTTAAAAAAAGGCTGATACAACTGAAATATTATCCAATTAAATAAATGAAATACTGATGAAATAGCATGCCAAATGCTGCTCCAAATTAAAATT